TTTTCAATTGGATACAAATTTTGGCTTGCAGGCATGAAACGATGAAGATGGATTTCCTGAGACGATGCAAAGTAACCTCAAGGAAAGGATCAATGTCCATCCGAACGTATTCTTTAATGACTCATCATGTGATAGGTTAGAGGAATTTGAAGCACATTAACAAAAAATTGAGACGCCAAATTAGGCTAAAACAATATCCGGTCCAATAGTTGGGAGGACAAAGGTGCTAGTATTACAGAGCGCGACTTAACGCCTTGCACTGAAAGAATTTAGCACCATCCACTTGTCCATGTTTAATGGGCCACCCCTTGGCAGTAAGGTTAAATAAAAGACTAATCTAGCAAACAGGGCCAGAGTTATTGTAAATCTCTACTATTGATTTAAACACAAACAATCTTGTTAAACAGCATGATTTGGTACAACACTATACATGTGTTTGACGAGACAAAAGTACTTGCAATTAGGAGCGTAGCAAACATTTTTTAGAGGTGCAGCTTTATTCAGAATGAGGGCCAAACTTAGAAAAGGTAAAGCTCTTGCCAAGTTGAACAAACTGAAAAGCAGATTTTGCAGCCGGGTCAGCATTTTCAGCCTCTTAGGCAGTAACTGCGCAAGCTCATTTGTCCTAGTCGATGGGCCGGTCAGTCGGCACATTAGATAGCGAATGGGATAGGTGAGTGAGCGAAAAGATGAATGCGACGGAATGCACTTATGCGCGAATGGAAGAATAGATGGCTGTAGATACTCAATGCTTACAACATGGTCTTATAGATGTATAGATCGGTACGTAAATAAAAATTAGGTAAGGCATATATGGATAGACGTATTAAGATATTAAAAGGTAGGTGGATGATACTGAGACGGGTATTAGTGGTTGTCATAACGCCTCAGCCTAAAGCTTAGTCACTGCACACTTTTCCTTTTAGCCGCTAACTCGCAGCCCTTAACTACCTCACGTCCTCTGCTACATTTCTATTCTTTCCCTCCATTCTTCCTACATTTTTCACACTAAGATTTTTTCTTTAATGGACTAGCGTTATCCCACTCTGCATTGTCTTCTTCCATTTCAGTGGGCCATTTTGATATGGAGGCGTCTGCACTTCCCCTTTAATTCCTTCTACTGATAGTCCTAATCCGAATCGGATTAATTTCTCCATTAACTGGATGTTTTACTGACTGGTAGGTTGACTGATTGGCTGATTGGTTCATTTGCCTTCTGGTATACTTACATACGTCAATAAAATGAACTCAATTTGCAATCCGTATTTTTACTCAATCACCTTAGATTGGTTCCATTTGAGTGCAGAGCGATGCCATACCGCTAGCTTTTCAATGCTTACCAGTTTACTACTCGTTTGCGGCTACCCTATCGAGAAAAACCATTGCAAACCTAGGCAGTCTTTGATGCAGTACGCCTCCCTTCCATCATTCCACTGTACCAAATTATGTCCATGTCCACAGAACAATGCCAGCTGTCGGTGTGTGACAGTAATCACCACCCTCAACTCTTGCAGATCTCACATCGAGGAGACAGTGAGAAGAGATGCTTTGATAGGAAGCACATAGGAGGGCACCACTGGATTAATAGTGGCATGAAGGACCATACTCTTTTCTACTCTACTTCCACCTCTATCCCATTGCATCTGGTTTACATTTGCATAACATTCCCCTCTTGCTAGTAATCCCTAGGGTATGGTGAGGGAGCAGCAGTTGTGGCCTCCCACAGGGAATCGGAAGAAGTGAAGTGAAATAGAAGAGGCAAAGTAAAGAGCGGAGCGCAAATAAGTTGGTGGATGTGCATGGCTTATCTGCGCCTCCATTACATGTGTCACCTCCAATTTCAAATTGCAAATCAATTCGGAAGGCAGGTAAAGAGTTCCTTTGAATTGACTCAGCAGGGTAGATGGGAGACGGAAAGTATTCGCTAGCGTAACTGACGGACCACAGACATTCGGCGATCGGTCAGTGCGATTCAAGCAATCACCCAATATGGACAGGTAATAAGATGCGGCACGATCGCTCAAATTTCAAATAGCAGATCAGTTTGGAAGACGGGTAAAGAGTTCCATTGAGTTGACTCAGCAGGGCCGAAGGCAGTTGGGAAGTGTGCACTAGCGTAACTCACGGACCACAGACGTTCGGCGACCAGTCAATACGATTCGAGCAAACAGGCCAATGTAAATAGGTAATAGGATGCCTCACGATCGCTCCAAAATCAAGTTGAAGATCCGTTTGGAAGCCAGGTTAAGAGTTCTATTCTTTGTTGATATTGGCTTGACTGAGTAGGTCTCATTGACGTCCCTCCGAATGGCTGCTGTACCTGAGTTAGGCTAGTGTATTATTTTCGACTTCCATTGGCACAGTCGAGTTGAATTTGATGAAATTTTGTTGCAGGCTTGCAGATCGTGCACGAATGTGGAACCCTTCGAATTATTTTAAGTATATATTTGCAGGAAGATGGAGATGAAGAGACCACTCAACCGAAGATAATATGCTGATTTAATGACAATGTCGATGTGAAGGCTGATGTCGGTATCACCTCCATCGATCACAATAAATACACCGTCATTTCCACCGGTGGTGTAGCTTACAATAATACATGGACCGTGCTGCTCATAGCACATCAATGGTCTCTCTTGATTGTGTGTCGGATTCAATCGGCTCTTCTAACGGATATTTGCCTAACAAAATTGCTACTTACTATTATGCGACTTCCCTTATTTTGGCGTCGGTACCCCATATCAGACACTTCCAAAATACGTACAGAAAATATCTTTTTTGCGTTCTCTACTTACTTTTAAATATATATGCAAAGATTAGAGCCGAACTTTTCGACTTTTTAGCTCCTATACTATAATTGGAAATAGTTTTATTGTCAGGTAACTATGCATCAGCTATGCAATTGTCCTGCTTTAATTGCACCGTGTAAGCATAGATCTCTCAGACACTGGAAAACATCTCCTTTCTGGTAAACAAGGGGGTTTTTTTCGAGTTTCGCTTCCACACACGTTCCAAAGTATGATTTGCTTTGATTTGTATTTCAGATTTAATCACTACACTGCTTAATTGCTGGCGAATACAATTTCAGCCGCAATAATAATTATGTTTAGTTCAAGTCTTTCCAGTGTGGCAATAGTGCGTAAGAATTGTGACAAAGTTTTCTAGCTTGTGTTCAGGTATATCTAATCTTCCATGTTTAATTAAATTTCGGTAATAGACCTAGATTTGCGTAAAGATATTGTCAACAAAATAATTTTGAGTAGAATTTAGGGAAAGAGTTTTTTTCTTCACCAATTTTGTCCAGAAAATATTGGTTTAGCTACTATCCAATTATCTTGAATAGCAAATATGCCAGAATAACATCCAGGCCACCTATCCCGAGTTACTCAACCAAGATACTTTAGTTTCCGAGTAACAATTATAGCCATCAAGTAGCTTCCTCTTTTTTTTAAGGCTTAAATTTGCTTAAAATCTTAGCTAAAATTCGCTAGTCAATAAAAGGGTCCTAACACTTCAACATCAATCCCATAGTAGTCAAAACTAGGCGTTCGTAGGAGCAGCTAATTTTTTGCTCATCAAGTCAAGAACAAGGTGGTATAAACGAATTTGTACATAACATCGTCTACCTTAGGTATATTTGTAACGTTAATT